ACCGCCGGGCCGTGGTCAGCGGCGTGGACCTGGACGGCTCCGCCAACTGCAAGAAGAAGAACAGAATGTCCCAGCCCATCCTGAAAGCGGTGGTTGAAGATAAGGAGAAATTCTCGAGCCTGGGGAGGATAAAGGTAAGGTGTGCTGAAAGGTGAAGGTGTTGGCTTTGTGGGAGTGTGGCCCTGCTGATCCTGCAATTCCCATAAATGCTGGGAGTTCTCAGATTGCTTTTTTGCTAACACAAAACTTTTCATGTGACTGTGAGTTTTAAAAGTGCTGTTTTCCAAGTGAGGTGTTGGAGATGGCGGGCTCTGTTGAAACCCAGGAGGTTCAGAGCGTTTGCTAGCTGCCTCCTGCTTGCCTTTCCTGCTGGATTCTCCAGCTTTCACAACTGAACCACCGGCTTAAAACCCGTGTCCCAGAAAGGAGTAAACAGGACAAAAAAAAAGGGACGTTATTTTAATAAAGTCTGTGTGTTAGAATAGAGACAGAAAAATGAACTTCCTCCCTCACTTCTCTGAGACATTACTTTTAAAGTATTTTTTTAAAATCACTGAGTGATTTTTAAATTGATAGAAATCACTTCAGGTATTTTAATGCTTGAAAGTAAAAGCAGCATGCCTGTTTTTAAATCTTGGTTGTAATCACTTAGAATCCTGTAGTAGAGTTACATTGAATATTAATGTATTAAATTGTAAAGACATACCGATAGTGTTCTTTTACTTATCTTAGTGTAATATTGTATTTCGTTATTTTAGATATAACTTGTTACTGTATGAAATGTATTCACAGATTTCTGTGTAGTGAAGTACATCCAAGAGCTGATGCTGTAGCTTTTAAAATAATGATCAGCTTTATAGCAGTTTTCAGCCAGTTTGAAATTACGGTAGTGGATGCTTCTGTGAAAACACTGCAAACAGCGAAATAGAAATTCATGAATTTGTCAACAGCTGCAGAGCGTGGTTTGGTTTGGTAGTAGACTTAAAACAATGAGTTAAGTTTAAGACAGGAGGACATGAAACTGTGTTGTCCTTACAGAGTTCTCTGCAAGTGGTGTTTTATGAAGTAGACTCTTGGCCCTGGGACTTGTTGCACGAGAGCAGCTGTTTTATTTCAGGGGTTTGTTGTGCTCTCGGAAGGCTCCTTTACCAAGTGCTCAGAGTGGTTTTGTTTGCAGAGGGGAAGGGCAGCCTCTCAGCGCTGCGCCTCCGCACACAGCCCTGGGACAGAGGGATGAGCCGAGTTCTCTGAACCCCTCTCCAGCCAGGGCAGTCTGTTTTTGAAACACAGGGAAAACACACATCTAAACAAGGCATGAGAGAAATGAAACTAGGGTAGCTTTTCACTTTCTCTCGTGACACAATTGTTTTTACTGAACTCTTGTCCAACACATGAAGTTTACAGATTAGGGCCTGTTGATTTGGTGCCCAAGTCTTGAATAAAACAGACATTCTTGTTACTGTGATTATTTTGCATTCTCCTCCTTCTAACATATTTCTCTTTTCTCTTAAAATTACCTGCAGAAGATGCTGAAAGGACAAGGGACATTCGATGGGGAAGGTGAGTCCTGTTCTGTCCAGACTTGCTAATAACTCCCAAGGGAAATGAACTTCAGGATCATTTTGCACGCTTCCTTTGTACAGAGTCAAAGACTCAGTACCTTCTTTTTCAGTAATGCAGCTGAGATTTGGGACTATAATTTTGGCACTCGACCTACCTTAGGGCTATTTTAAAGACTATGGAGTGACAGACTAAAAAGGTGTGTCAAGGGCTTGTTTTCTGCTTAAGCTCCTGTCCCTCCCCAAAGCTGAGCTGTTGGCTGTGTTTGCCTCAGCCCTGACAGCTCTGTGCACTTCCATCGTTAGCTCCTCCAGGTGGGACTGCCCTCCTGCCTGTTCTGGGGCTGTGCCCAGGTGTGGGACATTTGATCCATCGGGGGCTTGGGCCCTCCCTGCAGCACACCCCTGAGTCATTACCCTGGCCTGGGGGTCACACAGCTGTTTGTGCCTTCTCATCAGCTCAGGGTGCTGGGCTCAGCCCTTGGGCTCTGTAAGCATTTTCATTTCTTGCTGCTTAGGCTTCAGATATAAGTGCCAGGAAAACACTGTCTGTGGAGCTGTATTTTTGTGGTACTCATTAATTCTGGGTTTGCCAAGTTTGCTGTTTTTCCTGATATTTCAACAAGAAAACATCTATGATAAGTCCACAGAAGTTCTCTTATAATAACTGCTACTCTCGTGGCTTTTCCCTGTTTAATGCCTCTTTGAGGTCATCTCAGCTGTGTTACCTTCCTCTTGTTTCTGTTTTCAGAGCTTCCCACTCTGTTTATTTATTTTTGTCTCTTCTCATGCTATCTCCTGATGATGTTTTCTGGATTCTCTTCAATGATCCTGTCTGTCTGGGACGATCCCAGCTAATAACTTTCTCTGGAATGCCTCCCACAATTCAGTTGCTGTGACAGTTTCCTCAGTTGAAAGTGTATAAACTCAACAGGCTCTTCCCCAAAGCTGCTCCAAAGGCCACACCTGGTCTGAGCAGGGGGGACAGACCCACCCAGCCAGGGCAGGGGCTGCAGGAGTTGGGGCCCTGCCTGGAGCAGCCAAACTTCCACTTCAGTTCCCCCTTCTCTTGTAGGGGAAGATTGGATGTTATCCAAAGCCTGGCCCATCTAAAAGTACCTTTCAGAGCCTGCCTGCTTAATGGCTGAGTTGGCCTGTGGGTTTTTGTGGTGTTGAATTTCTGTCCTTGCTCACTGCTGTTGCCAGGGGTGTGTGGCCAGGGAGGGTGGGAAGCAGCAGAGTGCTCCATGCCTGTGTTCCTTTGCCACTGACAGTTCTCAGTTAATCATGGCACAACTCAAATACACCAGGAGGGTATTTGGTCTGAAGGTTCATAGGTCTCCTGCTTACTCAGACAGGCTTTTAACTTTCTATTTGGACTAGCTCTGACCTCAGATGTCTGAAACTGGGACACAGTGAAATGTGAAGACAGTATTTAGAGTTGAGAGAAGAAGGGTTAGCCTGGGCAGTGTGCTTTTCCTGGACATGAAAATAGTGAGACCTGCACATCAGTGGCTGCTCCACTGACACACAATCCTGTTTGCTGATTGCTGGTTAATTACAGAACTGGGCACAGCAAACCAAGGAAGAAAAAATTGTTTGCTGTTTTTTTTCTTGACAAAGGCCACATCTGTTCTTTAATTCGGTCTGGGAGGATCTTTGGGTACAGTGATCCATTGTCACTGTACTGCACCATTGTCCAGCCCAAATCAGTTGCTATCTTTGTCTTGTGGAATGTGAGCAGCACAGTGACACTTTGGTTTCTTCCATTGTTTAAATGTTACTTTAAATTTTTGTGAGACCATCTGAACTAACTTTCTAGCAATGACTGACACACTCTTGTTATTTGACAGAAAATGCTGTATTATATCAGAACTATAAGGAAAAAGCTCTGGACATAGATTCTGATGAAGAGTCTGAGCCCCAAGAGCAGAAGCTGGATGACAAGGTTGTTTTTCACTATAAGCCCCTGAGGTCAACGTGGAGCCAGCTCTCTGTGGTGAGTTGTATGGCCAGAGACAGCATCTCAGGGTGGGCTGAAGCAAAGTCTTCTCTTACTCGCTGCTGGAGTTTTTGGCTGAAATTTGTCATCATCTTTGTCACATCATAACAACTACATGGAGGTCCCAGTCAGTTACTGGTCTTTGTTCCACATAAAAAACAATGAAACCAAGTTCATTTTAGAGTCCTGTACTTGGCAAAGACACAACTTTACTGATTCATTAAAAAAAGTGTTGTGTGAGTTCACTAAAAGGGTGAATTATACTGAAGAAAGGCTTCAGTTAGTCACAAACAAGTTGCTGCTGAATTGTTCTAAATCACTGCCCAGCAGCTCTTAGGCTGGCTCGAGTGCAGATGTTTGATGGAAAGCATTTTGAGAAGTGCAGAGCAGAGCTGGTGGTGCTGTGCTGTCCCTTGCACAGGCTGGGAAGTGTCTGCAGGGCCTTGGCAGAGCAGCATCGTTAAACAAAGTGAATTCAGCTGTTCTGCTCAGGGCTGCAGTCTCACTGCCTTCCCTGCTCCTAACCTGACGGATCACTGATGGCAGCTGCTACTGCCACAGCTCTTTCTCAAACATGGGATTTTGGGACTGAAGGAACCATAAAAATTCTGGACTATTTATGTGGCCTCTGGAGGGATATCCCTATAATGAAGGATTTGGGGTTGTTTTTTGTTAATGTGACTTGTAGAATGTTGTAGATGCTCATCTCAGGCATTAGAGAGATTATGCCATGACAAGATCACCTGGAGGATTTGACCATCAGCTCTGTATATCCCAGTAAATGATGGATTAAGCCTCAGGGAGCTCCCCAAAGGCTGGTTAGATGGTCTCATTAGCAGGGCTGTCTCACAGATGCTGATGACCCTTTGCACTTTAAAGTATTGAAAGATGAATATCTCTGATTCAGTAATTATAACGAAGGCAAGGCAATGTGGTTTTGTAAATATGTGCGTTAATTTTCTTTTTCCAACAATCAAATACTTAAAATACAGTTCATTGGCTTCATGTTGCAAAAAAAAAAGTGTTTATAATGAAGTCAAATTGTTTTTTCTGCCTTCTGGGCAAACTAGCAGTTAAATGTTCAACAGCTGAGGTATTTTGGAAGGAACGCTATTTAGTAATAATAATGATAATTTCAAAACACTAATTTGCTTTGAGACAGAAATAGCATGAGGACCATCTCAGGAGGAGAACCGTGCTGTGCTTCTCTTACAGAAACCAGCTTGTTCTTTACTGCTCCTTGCACACAAACTTGTGCACTGTCTGTATTTGATTTGCAAAATTGGAAGTGGGGAGTATATGGGAGAAGGTGGTGCATGGAGAAAACAAAATCTGGGAATGTGAGACTCGTAGTGACTGTGTTTATAACTCTGGAAAAATTACATGCTGTCAATGTGTATTAAGAAGTTAAAAAGTGAGTCTGGACTTGTTGCAGGAAGTCAGCTGGAAAATGTCAGTCCTGGGTTTCGGCATATGCTAGGAAAGGAGGAGGAGAATGCCTGTGGTGTTTGTGAGCAGTGCCTGTGCTGGGAAAGCGAGGGCAGGGGCAGAGGGATCCCCTGTCTGCAGGAGGCTGCCCTGCAGTGCTGAGCCTGGGGGTAGTGCCCTTCAGGCATGGAGTGCTCAGATTCTTCATGAGAACAGGAATGTAAAAGGGTGTTTCTGTCTTTCTGAAGTGAATTCACACATGTTGATCTCAGATGTGATTGGTTTCTCATTCAGGTAAAATTCAGGTGCTGTGAGTGGCTTTAGGGAGCCACTCACAGGTCCCTGTCCAGGGCTGCCTCCCCTCCGTGGTACCAGCCCAGACCCCTGGTGTGACTCTCTGGGGCCTTCAGGGCTGATGTCTGCACCTTTCTCTCCCTGTACTAAAGGGCTTGTGGTCACTTGGGCTATGGTGCAGCCACTTAGTAGATTCCTGTTGAGTTCCCCCTTTCAGCACCTCCTCATTTTGAAGGCGCTTTTTGTCCCTGACCAGAGTTCACCTGTCCTCCTTTCATCCTTTGCTTCTCATCTTCATGGCTGAATCAGTCGTTGCTGAGGATAAGCCTGTCCAGTGTTAGTAGCAGTGATGCTTGGGCCTCTTTTGTTCCTTCTGATCATATTCTTAATGTAAATAAAGGGGTTTTTTTTGCTTAGTATCACACATGTGATGTTTTTTTAGATTACTTCAGCTTAAACATTTTGGACACATCAAAATTAAGTATTGAATTTTCTTTGGCAGAAATGGCCAGAGCAGTGTCCATATCTGGGTCTCTGTCTTTTGGAAGTGTTGCTGTTGGTGGGGAGTGTCAGGCTGGGCCCTTGGCTGTGAGTTCATGTGCCCTGAATTGCTGTGTACTCAGTGGGACACACCCGTGTGTGCCAGCTGCAGTTTGGAGCAGGAATTCAGCAGGTGCCCCGTGGAGCTCCCTGCACTCTGGCACTGTCTGTGTTAACAGGGAGCACTGAAATCTGGGGGATGTGTTCCTAGCTATTTCCTGTGCTGTGTATTTTTAGAAAACTCTTCCACGGCATCCAGAAAAAAGTTACATTGCACCTTTCAGTGCCATTGCACTTCCTCAGGAATGCTCTGAAGCTTTCAGGCTCCTGATTAAGATGTACTTTAATTGTTGAATAAAAAGCCATCTAATTAGCTCTTGCTCAGCATCCAGAAGTGTCTGCTGGTGGTGCTGTGGGGGTCTGGGAGTTGTGTTCCAGAGGCTGGTGGCTCCCACACTGGAATGTTGCTGTCACTTCCACAGGCATTTACCTGTGACTCTGTGCTTTGGTGTGCAGACCCGAGTGTGGCACCTCCTTATTCCTGCTGCCCAGCATTGTGGGGCCTGCTGTGCAGGAGTAAAGTGAGGAATAATATATCCTTTAAAATGCCAGGGAGCAGGTGGAGCAAGAAGAGAAAGCTGTTGGTGATAGCATGTTAGGAGAAGACTGACAGAAATGGGTGTGGGTCTGGTGTCTGTGATGTGCCTCTCTCCTCAAAGAGAGCAGGGCTTTCCACGTGTGTGGTGCTGTGGCCCTTTCCCTTCCCTTGCCCTGGTGTCCCTCCTGATCTGGGTCCTGTGTTTAGAACTCCTGTAGAGCCAGGCCCTCCTTGGCGCTTTGCTCTCTAGGTTTTGATAGTCCTGTCTCTCTTTTCAATCACATTTTCCCACAAAAGGTATTAAAACATCAATTGATTTGTCTTTGTAGGTGAAGAAGAACGGCCTGTCAGAAGCCATCAGCCAGGAGGAAAGGAAGAGACAGGAGGTACTCTGTGTTTTGGGGCTGGCTGCTAGGGCTGCACTGCACGCCTGCCTCAGTGCTCTGCTTGTTGATGAGTTCATTGCTTGCCTTCCTGCTCTCCAGTGAAGTCTCCTCTCTCCCCAGGGAGAAAAAATGAGCCCAGAGTGTGCTGAGGTGCCTGTGTCCATGCCAGGGGCTCCTGGGCTGCTCCAGCCTGGCAGCACCAGGGTCACTGCTGTGCCAGGGAAGGGGTGCCAGGAACTCCAGCTCCCAGAGGGGAAGGAAATGTGGCACAGCAGTTTCCATAGCAGTGGGGAGCAAAGAGCAGCTTTTACAGAGCCCTGGGCTGTACCTACCCCTGTGGGCAGTGCTGGGCACGGGGTGTGCCTGCTGGAGCCCAGCTGGTCCCTGAGCCCTGCAGCAGGGCAGGGGCTCCCTGATGGCAGCAGCAGCATCAGGGTGCTTGTTCTCTCTCTGCCCTTTGCTCCTGTGTCCTCTCCATCCACTTCCCTTGTCCCTTTTGTTCCTTGTGTCCTCTCCATCCACTTTCCCTGTCCCCTTTGCTCCTGTGTCCTGTCCATGTGCTGTGCCCCCGTTCCTCCCTGCAGGGCTCTGTCCCAGGGAAGGGGAGCTTGCCAAGTCCACCTGGCCAGGCCAGCTGTGTCCTTCCCCAGCAAGCAGGGCTTGGCTAGGAGCCCTGCAGCATTACCTGCCATGGCAATCTGTCCCAGTGTCTTCTTTCCTCTTCAGGACATGGCTCAGCCTCCTCCTGCTGGGAAGCTTCTGAGACAAGGCTTGTATTTCAGTGATATCCTTTAGGAGCCCTTAGTCAGTGTTTCCTGGAGCCATACTTGCATCCTTTCAAAAAGAACATGTTCTTTGCATTCCTTTTAAATGTAAAGTCTTCAATGTTACCAAAAACTGTTTTCATGCCTGAGGGTTTTTAATTTGAATTTTAGAGGCCAGTTCTTTCAGTGGGAGCCTAAATAAATATTTTTAAGCTGTAGGTACGTTACCAATTCATGCTTTTGCTGTATTTCTTTTAAAGTGCCTTTTATCATGTATTCTTTATCCGTTCTTTGAATTGCTTTTTAGAGCCTATTAGATTGAAAACTCTGAATATAGACTTGTTAACAAAGACTTTTTTCTTAGTATTGAATAACTTATTTATAATTAATGATGCAACTATTATAGAGATGAACATTTAAGTCATAATCTCTAGGTTACATCCAAAACTTTGCTTTGCACCCCTGCTCAACATTTTCTTTTTGTTTTTAAGGAAAAAAGCCCAATCACTAGTAAGTCTTTTCTTTCCCCCCTTCACTTTGCAGGCAATATTTGAGGTGATATCTTCTGAGCACTCCTATTTGCTGAGCCTGGAGATTCTGATCCGGATGTTTAAAAATTCCAGGGAACTGAGCCTCACAATGACCAAAACAGAGAGCCACCATCTCTTCTCCAACATCACGGATGTTTATGAAGCAAGCAAAAAGTGAGTGTGGCATTTTTGTACTTACCAGAGCTGTGCATCCTTAAACACAGCAGCAGGTTTCTCTTTGGATGCTGAGTTAGCCATTTTAGTGGTGAGCATTTCTTCCCAAGCCCTGCTGGTTTGCAGGTGGGAAGTACAAGTGGCAGAGATCTGCACAGCAGTTTGAGCAGGGCTGGCCTGGGATTTGTGTCTCTGAAAATGGGAGGGAAGGAAAGCACAGAGTGAATCATAGTGGAAATCAGCATCCTTCAAATCTGAGCAGTTCTAGGCTAAATGCTGCTCGGGCATTCAGACCTGCTCCTTGCAGGGCATCGGATAAAGCTCAGAGTGCCCTGCTGAGCTGTTGAACTGGAGCTGGAGTTCCGTGCTTGCCCTGCAGAGCTGGCTGGTGCCAGGTGGTGCAGAGCTCTGTCCTGAGGCGTGCTGTGCTCTGGGACTGCCCCCCTGTGTGGGCACCAGGGCCTGGCTCTGCTGCCAGGGGCATCTCTGCTCTGCTGCTTTGGGGCACATTCCTTCAGTCTGCAGCCAGGGAACAGACACTGCAGATAGTGCCTGGAGAGGAGGAAATGGCAGATCTTACAAGATACAAGTGCAGAGGAGTCTTGTTGCTGGCTGGTAATTACTGCCAGTGTTATTTAATCCAGGACATGCATATGTATGTGCTCTCAGAGTACTTCACACTCTCTTTCACAAAGTTACTGGAAGTGGCTTGGCTTCCTTGCAATTTGTTCTGTTCACAGCAGCAGGTGGATTATGTATTCCACATAACTAAAGCATCAGACTGTCTGTGTTGCTTTTCCTGTCCCTGATTTGCAGTCTGCAATGAGCACAGTGGCTGCAGTGGCTGGTGAAGGTACTGAGTGCTCACAGCTGTGGCTCTCTACAGCTTTACATGGATCTCTTTACCTGTGGAACAGAGAAATATTGGCCTCCTTTCAGGAAAGGGCTGAGGGTTGAACAAGGATTCTGAATGTTTTTTTATTTTGCTCCCCCTTCTTTTGTCTCCTTTGTGAATTCTTTAGCATTAAACCCTCATTTGCCTTGGTGGAACTTGTGAAGGTCCATGTCCCCAGTCACAGTAAAGTCATTTCTTGGCTTTTTTCTCTGAGACACCACAAAGTCTGTGGAATTTAACATCTGTTGTGCAGCAGTTTGACTTTTGTCTTCTGAAGTTCATGCAGCAGCAAGATCTTGTTTTTTGGAGGCTGATGTGCTGTGTCAAGTGCAAACGCAGTTCAGGAGCTACCGAGCAGGAGAATGTTTGGGCTTGGCTGGGGACCCTTCCCTTCTCCCTCCCTACCCCCCTTCTTTGTCCCTTGCAGTTGAGGTCTTTGCCAGAGGCTGGGGTTGTGTGGCCCCAGAGCCACCCCAGTCTGGTGGCACCGGTGTCAGGGAGTGCAGCTCATCAAAGGCTTCGTTTTCAAGGAAAAGTTCCTTTTACAGGTGCTCCTTACACAGTGTGAGGTGTGAAAGTAAAGGACAATGGGGGTGGGGAGAGCAGAACTCTTAGGGGAACTCTAGCATCCCTTTTGATTAATAGACTTCAAAGGAAGTGGGAGGGAGAGGAAAAAACAGGATGGAAAAATACCACATTAGCCTAGAGTTGTAATCTTATTCTTTCTTGTGTGTGAAGTCTCATGGTTTAAGAACTTGGGTTTTTATGACTTGGGGTAAAATCAGAAGTCATAACTCCTTTTTAAACCTAAATGAAAACATAATTTATCTCCCAAGTTTTGCAATACTGTTAAACTAAAACAAAACTCTGTGCTGGCTTTGAGCAACGTCATTTCTGTAAACAATGGAAGTGATTTTAAACCAGATACCAGTTTGGTATCTCCAGACTGCTGCTTTCTGTTTTCAAGGGGTTTCAAAGTAACAAAATCCACCTTTTCACTTTAAATGGAGTCTCTCCCATTCTGCTGGTTTTTAAGCAGCCTTTGCTTAGTACAAAACCTGAGTATGAGGGTAGTTACCAGTGGTTTTGGTTGCTGGGACAAAAGATTGGAGAGCTGAATAACCTGTGCTGATGAAAATACTTCATAAAAACCTTTATTTGAAACTGCTTAAAGCCCCTGTCTAGGAACTTTGACTTGGAACACGTTTTATGGAAACTCTCCAGTAACACCAGGATGCGCCTGTAGTGCCTGACAGGGCATTCCTGCGGGAACAAAGCTGCCTTTGTTGGGAGCAGAATGCAGAGAGCAGAGACTGTCTGTGCCTTTGGGAGCTGCCTGGAATGTCTGTGGCAGAGGAGTGGGGATGAATAACCTGTGCAGCACCTGCTGCCTGTGTTTGTGGGAGCTCCTGGAAGGTGGCTCCAGAGAGCTGGAGCGCACGGACCCTTGTGTGATGTGCTGGAACCCAAACTCTCCCTGCTCCAGCCTGCTCAGGGGCTCTTGGGCTGGGCTGTGGGGATGCCAGGGAGCAGCTCAGCCAGGAGTGAGCCAGGAATGCAGCCTGAGAAGGCACTGTCAGGTCAGACAGCTCCCCAGGAGCCTCTCTGGGGAAATGAGGGAAGTGTCTTCGGGAGCAGTTGGTCTGCAGGGTCACATCCCCAGTTTATAGGAAGAAGGAAGGCTTTAGCATTTGTGCCTTCTCTGCCATTAGGCCAGCAAAAGGCAGATGATTCTGTGATACCAGAGCAGCATTGGCAGAAAAAGATCCTGACAAAACCATTTTAACAGATTCTGTCAGGTTTTAAACTCTTTTTAGTCGCAGAGTGACAGGATTGAGCACTCTGGCTGTGCTGGGTTCATGACTTGCAGGCATTCCCATTTCATGTTCCCACAGCCTGGGGCTGGGCACAGGGGGCACACAGGGGGCACACAGGCTGCAGGGCCAGCTGCTCCTGCCTGGCCCTTGCCCAGTGAAAGGAGCTTTGTGGGCTCTCAGTCTGCAGGCCTGGATGTTACATTTGTGTGTGTAGCTGTGTGTTGGCTTCCATTACTGAGACTGTGGGAACTCAAACTGATTTCAGTTCTGCACTTTAATAAGCCTCTCTCCAGCCCTTTTATATTTTGATTCAGCATGAAGATTCTATGGAAATAAGACCATTTTTCCTATTTTCACTATTTTAAATCCCCCTCCCCTTCCCTAAATGACAATCATGTTGCAGATGTTCAGCTTCTGTCCCTGATGAGAAGGCTCAGATTTGGAGAGGTTAATCAGAAATCTCTGTTACTTCTGGCTGAAGTTATCTCAAGGTGGCAGTTGTTGCTCTGGTGACAGCTGCACATATCACAGCCCCTATCTCCAGGGGGAAGAGGCTGAGTTCTGCTTGCTGCCCCTCCCCTGCTTTCTGTCCCTGGTGGTGCCAGCAGCACCCTGGAGCTAAACCTGCGTTTTGAATTTGGCCTTCAGGAGTGTTGCAGAGTGTAAGGATGGCTCTTTAAACAGTGTAAGGACAAGGTGAGGGAAATCAAATTCTGTCCTACAGTGCTGTTTGACTTTCTCTGAATTGGATGTAACTTTAACCAGAAAAATCCTGGAATTAACAAAGAGATGTTTGAAGTAAATCCTTCTGACATTCAGCAAAAATAGCTGCACACATCACAGCAAATTCCTTGTTGGTTAAATTGAATGGAATCATTCCATCCCTCTGTCTTGAGCTCTATGGCAGAATCTGTCCTAAAATTATAAGTGAAAGGGTTTATGATGTGTCTGGTTCACTGATTGTGTCCAATAATTAGCAGATTGGATATGGAAAACTACAGCTTTTGATTCAAACTTGGATGCAGGATTTCCTTATGGGACATATTGGGAAGTGGGACTTTGATATACTGCTCCTCTTTGTCTCTCTTTTCCCTTTTAGCTTTTCTTTTTTTTCCTGTCTTCTCCTCTCCCATGTCTTTACTGTTCTTGCAGAGACTGTCTGTGCTGATGTCACTGCTGAAGCACCAGATAAATTCTAAAGGTGGAAGCTGTGGCCCAGCAGGGTCCAACACCTTGTCAGTGTGCCATAGCACAGCAGGAAATGTTGGATTTCCTCATTTCCTGAGCAAAGTGAATTGGCAGCAGTGGGAGGTTCTCCCAGCCATAAACATGTCTGAGCAGAGAGAAACAAATCCCAGTGTGGGATGGGGCTTGCTGTGCCTCCTGAGACACTGCAGGCTCCATATTACAGGCTCTTTTTTCTGTGATTTTATTATTTATGTGCCCCTTGGGGCTGGCCCAAGCCCCCAGCGCAGGACAGGTCTGTGGCAGCTCAGGATGTGCTGTGCCCTGGAGGGGCTGTGTGGGGGACAGGAGGTGCTCAGGGCTCTGCCTGCTGCAGCGACAGGGCTGTAACAAACCCTGCTCAGTGCTTGCAGGCTGAGCCCTGTTAGTAGCCAGTCCATCTGCAGCTCCTGTGTCAGAACATCACAAAACCCAAAACCAGACCAAAATCCACTCGATTGTGGTGGCTCTGGCTGCCCCACCGAGAGCCTGGCAGCCACTCCGTGCAGCAGCTGCTTCTGAGCACACCTGGAGAGTGCCTTAATTTAGTTAAGCTCTGTTGCTGCCCACAGTCAGCTGCTGCTCAGCCTGTTCTGCTCCTCTCGCATGTTTGAGGTGTGTTTGTAAAGCAAACCGTGGAGGGCATCACTTGAAAAAGGTGGCAGATTTGAAGAGCCAGTGTTAGCGATAAAAAATTGGAATAAAGGGCTGAAATTAAATAAAGCAGATTTCAAAATATTGGAGCTTAATGTGAGCTCATATGTTCTGAGTATTTCCTTAATGTTTTCTGTGCTGTATGAGGATTTTTGTATGAACTTGTTGACTGCAGGGAGTTGAGGATTCTTGCAGTGAATGCTGGTGTACAAAGGCTTCAGGCAGGACAGCATTTCATGTGTGAGGGGTGACCTGCAGAGCTGCTCTGTGAGCTGTTCCACCCCAGCAGTGGCGGATTTCCAGTGGGCACCATGGAAATCAGGTGCTTTGGGAGCGTTGGGAGTGCAGAAAGCAGTGGGAGGCATCCAGTGGCCAGAGAGACTCACATGTGGGACAGAGACAGCAGGGAAGCTGTCAGAACAGCATGGTGAGGGGAAGGGCCAGCTCAGGAGTTTGGGTTCTGTGCCATTTTCAGTGCTTCCAGTGCCTGTTGGTTCCAGTGGAGGGCTGCAGGATGTGGAGCACCGTGTCCTGCTCCACCACCACATGGCTGTGTCCTTGGCTCAGAGCCCCACATACCTGTACTCCATCCAGCACCTCTGGTGCTGTGCTGCCTTTAATTGCAAGAGGAAATGTGTTAATGTGTGTATGAAGTCGTTTCTTTTCCAACCCTGTTTCTGGAAATTCTGGTCTGACCAGCTCGGTGATGCTGTTTGGCTGTGGCAGTGGGGGAGTGGGAGGTGGCTGTGCCAGCGCTGCTGCTGAGCTGCCAGGGGCTGTGCCCTGTGTCCTGGGGCTGTGCCCTGCCAGCACTGCCCTCGCTGCCCTGCCAAAGGAGGGATGGCCTCACCCTGCCAAGGCCAGCCCAGCTGGCATGGGTTGGTAACAGGGTTGTGTCAGGGGAATGCTGTGAGAGGAGGATGCTGTTTGCATGTAAAAGTGAGCAGTGGATGTTAACCCCCCAGGTTCTTTGAAGAGCTGGAGGCCAGGCACCAGAACAACATTTTGATCGAGGACATCAGCGACATCGTGGCGAGGCACGCGGGCTCCACCTTCGACCCCTACGTGAAGTACTGCACCAACGAGGTGTACCAGCAGCGCACCCTGCAGAGACTGCTGTGAGCATGGAGAGCCTCCTGCAGGGCTCAGGGGCTGGGGGCTCTGCGTGCACCTTTGTGGGGACACCAGTTTGGGGGGGCTCCCAGCCGGGCTGGGCTGGCCCTGCTGGGCACCTCCTCCTGCCAGGTCATGGCTCACACTCCCTTCCTCCGTCAGTTCAGTGTCACACAGTGTGACAGTGGCCCTCCCTGTGTGGCACACCTGGGTCTGCCCTCACAGTCAGGGGGGCAGCTCCTGAGCTTTAATGTCAGTGCTGGGGCTGGTGGATCTGAGAGAATAAAGCTGAAGGCTGGGGTGGTCTGACTCCTGCAAATGACATTCCTTTTTATAAAATCATGGTTTATTTAAAATGTAGCAACTCTCATAATCGCATCCCATTGAATTGTTCCATCCTCTTTCCCCCAGAGCCACAAACCCAGCGTTTAAGGAGGTGCTGTCCCGGATCGAGTCCCACGAGGATTGCAGGAACCTGCCCATGTTCTCCTTCCTCATCCTCCCCATGCAGAGAGTCACTCGGCTCCCCTTGCTGATGGATGTGAGAGCACCTGCTTCCCTCTTTCCTGCTGCTTGTTCTCACACTGTTAACATTCTCTCAGTTCTGGTTCTCTCCAGTCTCTTCCTGCCTTCTTCCTTACAGCACTCTGGGCTGTGGATTATGGATTCCTGCTGCATTTTTTGCTGACTGGGACTGGGCCCTCCTGCTCCCCCATTCACAAGTTAAATACTTGGATGTTCTAGTGGGGAAATTGTACAGTAAAGGGTCAGAATGGGTCTGAAACTCAGGAGGAACCAGCCCAGGAATTGTATGTGGTGCTAGGATTGAAATGAACCCTGCAGCTGAAAAACAAGACCTGCTGTCGTGTAGGATGGTGAGGGGCCTTAGGCAGGGAGTACTCTGGGAAGCTGAAGGATGGACTTCATTCCCAAGGGAGCTGTGTGTGAGTGGCACTGAGCTGTCCCTCCCTGTGCAGTGACCAGGGACTCAGTGATGGGGGTGCCATCATGGAGTGATGTTTCTGTCTGTATTATTTACAGCACACTCTACAATCAGTTTAGGTGTTACACTTACAACCTAAGTTAAATTCAAAATAGATCCATCACACTTCTCCTAAAGTTACTAAAAGGTATTTTCACCAGCTTTAAAGAGGTGTAGATTTTACTCTTCAATCTTGTTTGTCAGGCAGAATTCACACCAGGAGTTGGGGTATTTCACTTAAGGTGCCAGGACTAAGTGAGGAGCTGGATCACCCAGCAGGAGTGCAGATTGTGATCAGGCTCAGATTCCAGCACTGGTGGGAGCCACAAACAGAACTGATAATTTTGTTTGTATATTTTTAAATTGAGCACTGAGTAATTTGATCACCTGGACAGTTAGTTCATTCATGGATATTGAATTCTCTCTTCTCTGCACTTTGTTTCTAGGTAAAAAATGGAATCATAATCCAGTATTCCTGCAGAGTGTCACTGGGGGTGCCTTCCCCTTCTTGGTTTTTTTTTTCCTATACCTCCTTCCCTTCTTTGGCTGAAATAATCTAAACAATCAAATCTAGCATTTTATTTCCCACTCTTTCAGTTTTGTTTTTTTGTATAAACCTCAGCTTGAGAGGTTTTTCATCACTTTGTTCCCAAACCTTTGCAGGGAAGCATTCCTTGGTATGACCAAGTGACCGGAGTTCCCTCTTTATCTCACAGCTGTGATTCAGCTCCTGGATTTCAGTTAAGATGTGAAATCTCTGTGGGTTGCAGTCTGTGCTGTTTGGTCCTCTGAAGTAACTGATGTTTTGTTCCAGACTATTTGCCAGAAAACTCCCAAGGATTCAGCAAAATATGAGAACTGCAAGCAGGCTCTGAAGGAAGTCAGCAAGGTATGCTCTCAAGTAATTCCTGAGTACTTCCAGGGAAAAATGGATGTTTTGCATGCATAAATACTGCAGGCAGGAGGAGCACTGAAGGCTCTGCATTGCTGTATTTAAGGAAGGGCATTGGGAATTGGGTTTGTGCAGAATTACTGGCTCCTACTTGGGAAGGGATCCCAAAGTGGATGATACTGTGGTGATTCTGGGTTTGTGAGGGAGCAGTGTGGGAAGTGAATCCAGCTGGGAGGAGGGTGTGTGTTTGCAGCTGATCATCAGCCTGGGTCAGAGCAGTGCCCTGCTCAGCCAGAATGGGGCTGAACCTTTGTTCCTGCTGGAGAATCACAAATGATGGGGTTCCTGTGGGATCACTGGGGTCAGGGGGAGCTGGGAGCGGTGCAGCCACGGGGCCAGCCCTGGTCACTGTGGCCCTGCAAACACCACGGTGAGGTGGATGTGTGCCTGCTGGGGTCTGTGCCCCAGAAATGCCTTTGGGCCCTCAGAAATGCCTTTGGGCCCCTGCTGGGATGTGTACCCCAGCAGTGCCTCTGTGTCTTGCTGCCTCTGTGCCCCAGCAGTGCCCCTGCAGGCTCTGTGCCCC